CTGAACTCGCTTAAACACTCTTGATCCCACCAAACCTATTTAATTTTTCCTTCCAATTTTTGAAACGCATCCCATCCCAAACCTGGAGCTTTCATTCCTCCGGTTTAGTTTAAATTCAGTTAGAAAATGAAACCTAACCTTATTTTGGTTATACTGTTTTTATAAGTTGAATTGAATTAAATTAGACATCAAAATGAACCTGATAAAAATTGAATTCAAATCATTTTTTTAAGTCCATGTCATGGAACAATCTCACCTAAGAGCAAAGTGGGTTAGTCTATGAGCTCCCAAGTTATGATGTATAGTTGAGTTCTAGAGAAGAGAAAGAAGAAATAAGCCTTCTGCAATTTTGAATTGCGGTAAGAGCTTGTCAGGGCGGATCAGAACCAATTTGGTTTTAGTTTTAAATTGGTTTCAAAATTTATATAATTCAGTTTGATAACCAAGTTTGATAACCTCATTAAATCCATTAGGACATGCCTCACCCAATTATCATTTAACACATCCTATTGTTATTGATGTCGTTTTCAAATGTAAAATTCAAATTCAATTATCTTAATCAATGGCCATAACCTTATTTAACATATCACTTATAACAATGATTAATTCTATTAATTATCTCCATCTCATAATTAACTTAATTAATTTGATTTAAGTTCTTTTTACTCACTCGTATATAAAATTAATGTTTGTTGGAATGACTTTAACCCAAGCTGATTACTTAAAGGGAAAATCTGTAATATGGAAAAAATATGGTATGGAAAGAGTTTTGACCAATCAAAATTCACCCATAAATTTTGATAAATAACACCTGATTTGCTATCAAGTCTATCATTCCAATTGATTGGTCAAGGTGTTTTTCGGATATCATATTTTTTCTATATCATAGTTGAACCCTTACTTAAAACACAGGTATTGGGCTCGGATCTGCTATCCATGAGCTGTTCCCACATCTCTATACATGAGACACCGTAGTTGCACATTGAGAATATCTCCCCCATCACTCTTGGAGTGATATTCCCACACTGTAGGGATGTGGGAACAACTTGTGGGTAGTAGATTGGGAGTGACAATCATTTTAACTACCAAACCACTTTACAATGTCTTGCTAAATTAGCACTGAGAAATAATTATCATAGATGATGGGCCTTGGCGCAAAGGTTGTGTTGCTCCATAGCGACCTGGGTGACTGGGTTTCAAATCTTAGAAATAGCTCTTTCTACATGCAAGGGAAAGGTTGCATACATCTGTCCCTCTCTAGACCCCACATTGGTGGGAGCCTACTCATGCACTGGGCTGCCCTTATAAACAATCATATTATATTCATGTTCATTAAAGTATGAGAAATTCATTTGCAAATACAAAGGTTTGAAGCTCTTATTATGTCCAGGTCTCGAGCTATAATCAGACTAGCTTTGAATACTTTTGCCTTTATAATCTAAGTTATCCATTTAAGCGATTATTCTTTTGTTGGTGACTAATTTCACAAGAGAATATAATTTTATTATTTGACATGCCACCATTATTTATTAAAACTTGGCGTGTTTTAAAATTTGTGATCTTTTACATGATTATTAATGAGATTTATAATATTATTTTGTTATGATATATGCATGTATATTTTAATTATTCTACCATTTGCCAACATTTCCTTGGCAGTTTACACGTCACATAAAATCATAAATTATTAAAATAAAATTTTCTTTTGCATTTTTACCTTATTTTAGAGTTATTAGAGCTATACATTAAATATAGTTTATATAGGGAAATTGTCTATAACTCACCATGAGTTTTCAGCATTTCTCTTAAACTCGCCACAACTTTTCAAAATGTCTAAAACTCACCATGTCACTAACTTGACGTTAAAGAGACTCTGGGTGTTAATATATTACCATTTTAACCTTCATAGAAAAATATAAAATATATACATATATTTTAATATTTAGACATGAAAAAAGGAAAAAGTTTAAAAAATATTTTCAAACATAAAATACATAAAAACACAGACATTACAAACATATAAAAAAATTATAGAAATTACGCACAAAATATTTTTTTTTCAAATTATAGAAACTATAGAAATTGAAAAACAAAATAAAAAAATAAAAATTGTAGAAAAAACACAAAAAGTTATAGAAAAACACAAAAATTGCAAATAAGTAACAAAAAATATAGGAAATTTTATAGATTGTAGAAAATAGAAAAATGTAAAAACACAGAAATTATAAAAAAACACTGGAAATTGTAACAAAACACTAAAAGTGCAAAAAAAAAAAATTGAAAACTGAAAAAGATCATTTTCCTCTAACTCGCCATTCAAGAGTGATTTGGTCATGAAAATTGTTATTTATACTGACATGGACACCTCTGTTAAGAAGCATTAATGGTGGAAGGTGAGTTTTGGAAAACAAAAACTTACTGACATGGTGAGTTTAAGACATTTTGAAAAGTTGTGGTGAGTTTAAGAGAAATGCTGAAAACTCAAGGTGAATTTTAGACAATTTTCCATTAATATATTTTTAGTCTATATTTGAACTTTCATGGCATATCCATACATATATATATCTTAATTTTCCCACTTTATCCTACAAAATTGCCTTTCCTAGTTGAAGCATAATGACTTGGGCTTTTTCTAATGTGTTTGATGAAATACACTGAGCCCAAATCAGCTATTTGTCATTTATTTGAAAGGCTGCCCGCTTCAACTTCAACTTCTTTCACTAGCTTATCTTGAGCGCTTCAAAGCAGCTGAACAACATAGATGAATTCTCAGCTCAACCCTCTCAAACAGGTCATGAGATGTCTGAAAGCCATTTTATGGCGGAAGGACAGTAAGTTTATTTTTTTAATTTATCACAAAAGCATTGAGGCTCTGTTTGGGAATAGTGCAAATAGAGTGCAAATGCAAATATATAGAGTGCATTCTGGTCCATACAAATGCATAATTGGTTTAGTTTTGCATTGATAAATTTACATTCTTAGGAAATGATTTTTAGTTGTAATGGATGCAAACATGAATCATGATAGTAAAATGTACATTTTTAAGATTTGATCAACTTTGAGTGCAAATGTACATCAATTTTTTTGATGTAAAATTCCCTCTCATTTTGGGTGCAAATATGCCTTGAAAACTGTCTTTTGTTACTGTCAATGTACAAATGTAATCTTGCCAAGCACTAGCAAAACTGAATCAGAATGCATATACGCACTAAACTAACATTTGCACTCTTCCCAAACAGGGCCTTATATATTCCCACACCATCAAACCAAAAGTAGTGTCTCTTAAAAAGCTGTGAGACGAAGTGCCGAACACCAATAGACCATTCACTAGTTAAAAAATACACCATTGAAGAGTTTTTTTATTTTTTAAACACCATTTATCAAGGAAACTTAGACTAGATGTATTAAAAAATAAGGATAAATTGCTGAAATCTCCCTTGAAGTTTTTGACCATTACTAAACTTCCCTTGAAGTTTGGTAAATGAAATCACCTCCTCTAAACTTTATGATGCAGTTACAACTTGTAAGTGCACCTCTCTATTAGAATCCTCAAATAACATGCATGAAAATATCTAAAATACCTATACAAATTACTTTCGATCAAAATGTTTATTTTCCAAAATTTTTCTTCATATTTGTATTGTTTTTTACATAGAAACCAGCCTAACAATAACTTTATGGGTATTTCAGATATTTTCGTGCCTCTTGCTAGAGGATTTAAGATAAGGGGTGAAATAAAAACATAACCATCTCACTCTGTTTGATGTGGAGTGTTCTAAATTGCTTGCATGTGTTGGAGAGTTTGCGTGCAACAGCGAGTTTTCTAGTCGATTCAAAATCCCTCCCTGTCTGGGAGGGGTCTCCCGCTCTTCCATTGTTTGATGCAAGTTTTCCTCTATTATGATAGGTTTTTGATAGATAGGGCTAATTTTTGTTGTTTTATTTGCTTTTTTTGGTGTTTTCTTTTGTTGGTCGATTGTTGTATTGTTCCTTTGGTTTCTCCCTGTAGGTTTTACATACGATGGCTTGATCTTTGTTCTGAGAAATGGTTCATCCTCTACGACTTGTTCTTCATTGGCTTTATTTTCATGAAAGCTGAAGATGTGGTTGTTTCTAAAATCGCTCAGAATGGTAACGTTTGTTCTAGAAAGAAATATGTGGATGCTTTACTGACGACATTATGTTTTGGAGTATCCTCTTCCTTGGGATGATTTCTGGTGTGGTGTATTCCAGTGAGGAGGATTATTCTTTGTTCTAGCATATCTTTTCGGTGCAGCCCAATCGTTTCAGTTTAATCTCTGGCACTATCCAGCCTTTCAGTTATTGGAGGAACCGCTTTTTGACACTTGCCTCATGCCTAGGGATGGTTTGCCTTGGAAGGAGTTTTATTTTGCAAGATAACCGTTACATCTAAGCCTGGGTGAGACAATGGTTGGTTCTCTTCTTTTCACCTTTCAAATCTGAAGTTTTTAGTTGTGATTGTCATAGAAAAGATGACTTTAGCAATTTTTTTTTTTGTGTATCCCAGTTTTCGAGAGTTTCTTGTGAAGTTTTGACTCTGTTGGAGGTTGGTCCTCCTTTATTGGAGTTTTGACTCTGTTGAAGCACTTACAAGAATTTCTTCTCGTGCTCAGGATTTGTTGCAATCTGTATTGAGTTTATCTTTTCTTTTTTAGTTTGTTGATTGTACTCTCATGTACTGTATTTGAGTTTTCTGAGCATTCTTAATGAAATTAGCCATTGCCTTAAAAAAAAAAAGAAAAGGGGTGAAATCAGTCTCAACAATAACTTTATGGGGTCTATTTGGAATTGTCCCAAAACATTTAAGAAAGGTGATTGCAATTACCAAATTTAAGGGAAACTTTAGGGGTGGGTTTCACAAAAGCTACCGAAAGAATAACTGGATGTTTGTAGCAAAGTGTTAGGACGTCTTTGTTCCACGTGGCTAAAAGGAATGTAAACAAACGAAGGCGAGCCGCGAGCAAACGAGCGTATCCAAAATTCCGAATAGGGTTTTAGAGGGAAAAAAAGGAGAGTCTGGAATTCTGGCAGGGTGGGACTGTGGGAGGGAGGTTTATCTGCAAGACTGCAACTCAAAACCAACTGATATGGAATAAAACCAAGGAAAGCGGAAGACCCTCACCACTACAAAAACCTCTTTAATGGCTCTTCTGAAACCTTCCAACTTTTCGATTCGACTCATGGCATCGCGCTTCTTCATCTCCGCATCTATTCGCACTCACAGTCTCTCTCTCTCTTCCTCGTTTCCCAGCTATTGCTCTGCTCTCTACTTCAGCAGAACCAGGTCTCTGCTTCCTCATTCGTGTCGTGCCAAGATAAAGTTGTTTTTGTTTCTGATATCTTTGCTAAGAGAGTCCTTTTTTTATTCAGAACGAGTTTTCGGTCGAAATCAATTTCGACTCGGTTTTTGCGGCGAAATGCGGTTTGTGCAAAGGCTTTCATGTCGTCGAGCACAGCTGCTGAAGCATTTCAGGAGAATGCGACCTCGAAAGCTTATAGTTCGGAACAGATTCAGGTAGGCAAATAAATTTCAGGTTTTTTCTTATTATTTTTGTTCTTCATCAATATTTTTTACGTGGAAGTTGAAGGGTATATTTATCAAGGAATCACTCGTCAGAAGAGGATATACGTTTCATGTTCTTGAGAAGTGAAGCACCATGCTGGAACTATGGATATCTTGGTGAACTGTTAGTTAGCGTTCCCCCCCTCCGAATACTTGAAATGATCTACTTCAATTTAAATTTGTTCGGAGAGTCACCACCAATGGGCATTGAGGGATCGTGCTTCGTTCATTGAGCTGAATATCCGTATATATTGCAAGCTTGCATTTCTCTCTTCGTTAAGGAACTTGGGCTTTGGAGGGGTCCTTATTGACCTTACTAGATAATAAATGCTTACGGTTGTTTTCATCTTAGATGTGGTATATATCATTTAAGAGTTCGGAAAATTGGTAGGAAAATCAATTGCTTTTTTGCTCCTAATGCATTCCCGATTCTACGAGCTGCCTTTGTCGGAGCCCCTAGAACCCCCGATCCTAACGTGCTCATTCGTTCATCTTAATAAAAGATATTTTCAAAAGACGGTTAAAATTATAATGTTTTTGTAGGGATTTAAGAATTTAAGACCCTAATACGGATTATGGATTTGTTTGGGCTTGCATCAAGGGGCTTGGTCTGCCCTCGGCTCAGCTATTAGGCATAAAGAAAAGAAACATATGCAAATTTTCTAAAGGCATACACCTGGGCTGAAGTGCAAGACGCACCAGTCCCACACGTTTTGTAAGTGCTGTGCCTGGGGCTTAGGCAAGGTGCATGCCTTAATAATATGTGCTTCACTTTTGTGCCTATGTGCACATTTTAAATCACTGGATGATGTCATGCTTTTTAGGTTATGGACAAGATGGTCATTTGGTGGAAAATATGAATTTGATGGCACAACTCTTTGAACAAATGTCAGACTTGAAGATCAATTTCTTTAGAGTTTTATTGTAGGAATCAACATGGATGATAGAGAGATAGGTCTTGCTGCAGAATTGATGGGCTGTTCAATCTCCCCTTGGCCTATGCAATACTTAAGTTTGCCTCTAGGGGCTAATCCTAGGAATCCTAGCTTTTGAAAATTGGTTATACAAAAATTTTGAAAAAGGTTGGCAGCATGGAAGAAGGGCTATTATCTCCCAAAAATTTGTCAGTTTTCAAGGTACCTTAGAAGGCGAGTAAAAGATGGAGAAAACAATGAGGGATTTCTTGTGGGAGTTAGGGGAGAGAAGAAAAGATCATCTTATAAACTGGATTACGAATAAGGTGTTTGAAAGCAAACGTCGGGGGGGGGGGGCTTGGGAACAGGAAACATAGAGAATGCTGATAAAAAAAAAAGAAAAGAAAAGAAAGGAAACATAATGAAAAAGGATTTGGCTTTGTTGGACAAGTTGCTTTGGAGGCTACTGAAGGCCAAGGATAAACTGTATAAAGTGGTGACAGATACACATGAATATTTGAATAATGAGAGATTTCTTGTGGGAGTTAGGGGATTGAATAAAAGATCATATAATAAACTGGATTGAGGTGTCTGAGAGCAAAAGGTAGGGAGGCTTGGATTAGGAAACATAGAGAAAAAGGATTTGGCTTTGTTGGGAAAGTGGCTTTGGAGGCTACCGAAGGACAAGGATAAATTGTTGCATAAAGTGGTGGCAAGTATACATGGATATTTGGACAATGGGTGGGGCGCTGGCATGTTTGCAAGGGTTACAAGAGCTTCACCTTGGAAGGCAATCCATGATATACTCCCTTTATTTCTTCCATACATTAGATATGGTGTTTCTTCGGGTAACCATGTCAAGCTCAAGGAAACAAGTAGGTGGGGCAATCTCCTCTAAAGGACCAATTTTCCTCTTTTTTTGCACTATCCAGCCTCAAGGTAGAACCAATTTCAAAATTCATTGCCTCTTCTTCTTCAAACAATGGCATCAGCTTGGGCTTGGGTTTTAAGAGGGGCATAAGGGACTTTTGAATTTTTTTGATAGTAACAAGAAAATTTCATTAAAATGAAAAATCATTACAGTCAATCTGGTGTCGAGGGGGCACCAATGAAACTGATCAAAGAAAGCTTTCAAAATTACATTATTGAATTTTAAGAACATTTCAAGAATTGGGACCCCAGCCCCAAGCGTTCACTTGTGCAAATTCATGTACAATGAGCTCCCAATTTGTGACAACCCTTCCAATAGATGCCACGTTATTCTCTGTCTCCCACTGTTTATCTTCAAACACTCTTCTATTTCTTTCTTTTCGAATGGTCCAGCAAACAGTAAGCAACTCCACACCATCTTAGCTTTCTTTCTCCCCCTAAATGATGACCACTTAGAAAATATTTCAGCAGGAGTCCCAGGAAGAAACATTTGCATACCAAACAGAGCGGAATAGAATTTCCAGCATAATCCAGCCAGCCTACAAGAGAACAGATGGAAAACTGTTTTCTCAGTCACTCTCCCTGCACACAAGGCAAATGTTTCCCATACAAAAGCCTCTGAATTTAAGATGATGTAAGGTTAGAACACTATCCATAGCCACCAGCGACATGAATGCTTCTACCCTTGGAGGGACTGGGTTGCCCCAACACCTTCACACCTGGTGCCATCCACTTACTCCTGAGCCCCTGTTTGGGAACACCTAAAATAAGTAATTATCTTAAGTGCTGGGATCACACAATAAGTGGATAATAAGTGCTTATTCCTGTTTAGAAAAAATGCCCAATAAGTACATATTTTGAAAATAAGCACTTAAGATGAGCAAGGAATGGGTAGCTTTCTTAAGTGCTTATTCAATAAGCACTTATTTATTTTTTTGGGACAAAACTGTCCCCAAATATTTGTGTAATTTCCAGGGTCTGACCCCTCTTCAAAGGACGATAGAACCCTATCATCTTCTCCATTTGAGTGTCCAAGAGCAGCGGCAGAGACCTTCCCAGGAATGTTGCAGATTTGGGTGCATGAACCTCATTATTTAGCCCCATTTTCTTTCTGTTATTTGCTCCATTCTCTTCATTTTTTCAAACCCTTTCCTTCTCCCATGTCGTTTTTGGATCATAACGCCCTGATTTGCGTTGGGTTTTCAGATTCATTAGACAGAGAGTTCTTAAAACTCAACTGTGATGGACGTAGTAGAGGGAACCAAGGACTTTATGAGTGGGGGGAATTTTTAGAGATGAGGAAGGTAATATTGTTGCTTTGTTCTTGGGTCTGATTGGAGTAGGAGATTCACTAAGGGCTGAAGTTATGGCTGTAGTGGAAGGTGCAGATGGCAAAGGAGATGAACATGGAAAAGCTGATTATGGAAGGAGATTCAAATTTAGTGGTAGGATAGCTGCAAAAAAGAGAGGCTGCTTTATAGTGCATGTCCGTTTTTCAATAATTGTGAGGCCCTTGGTAAACCAACATTCCCTTGGGTGTCACTCACCTAGGAAAGTGATACCCTTCTTCCAAGTGGGTTACTTTCCCACCTCGGGGGAAAATGCCAAAAACCAGTGGACAAAATTGTCCCTTGTAAGAATAGAACATATGGATAAAATGGTAAATTGCCAAACTTACCTAGGTAAATTTCATGATTTAAAGAACATGGATAAATGCATTTCCCTGGGAAAAACTTGCTTGGGTAAATGCACTTACCTAGGTAAGTAACTTACTGAAAAACGAATGAGGCTGTGGTCTTACAGTAATGAAGTAAAAAAGTTTAGGCAGTTGACTAGAGATATGGAAGTGAGGGTAATGCAGGAGCTAAAGAATAAAATTTGGAATTTTCGGAAATTTTCTGTGTTTCTTTATATTTGGATAGTATGGGTATTTTCGTCATTTTGACCAGTCTCATGTGGGCTTGGGCTATAGCATCTTGTTCTTCTAGCTTGGTAGTGCTTGTCTTTCAATTTTCAGTTTATAGCATTAGTAGATAGAAAGTTATTGTGTTTCTTGATGCACAAGACAAGGAGTGGCGTTTTTGTAATTATGGTGAACAGTATTTTGGGCCACACAAGTCACTTTACAAATAGATGTATTCTATTCCTTTTGGAGCTAATGAATGAATGGAGATTTCTTTAGAGCAAGTTTGTTGTATGGAGACTGATTCCTACAAACCCTAGAGTGATTCTAGGATCCCTTGGAGTGATTCCTTGGGATTTCTCTCTTTTTTCTCTCTACCCTTTCTTCTTCTTCTTCTTCTTCTTCTTCTTCTTCTTCTTCTTCTTCTTCTTCTTCTTCTTCTCTCTCTCTCTCTCTCTCCCTCCCTCCCTCTCATTTCTGTCTTCTGATAGTTTGTTCCAGCCTTACTGCATCAGTTTTGGTATCAGAGCTAATTAGTCACCATGATCTCACAAAGTGATTGATTCTATGGGCCTAGGGTATCATTTAAACAATCTCATGGGTTTAGAATCAACGATGTTAGGGTTTTTGAACCATATGAAGGGTCTATGGTTGATTTAATTTAGAAATTGGTGGAACTTGGAAGAAAGTAGATCTAGTATTGATTTATCAAAAAAAAAAGTAGATCTAGTATTGTTGGCTATAGGAGTAAGGTTTTCAAGAATGTTAAAAGAGAAAGGGAAGTGCCTAATTTCAAGGGAGATGAAGACCGACAAACATTCTTTGATTGGATTGCTATACTAGAAGAATATTTTGATTGGCATGATATGTTTGAAAAACAAAGATTTAGATTTGAACGCATGAAGCTCACGGGTATTGCTAAAGTATGGTTGGGAACTCTTGAGCAACGACTAGAAAATGGAGGTGAATATCCTATTACCACATGGGCAGAAACAGAGATGAAGAGGTATTTGCAAGAAAAGTACATTCCACAATACTTCCATGATATGTGGATTGTGGAGTTGACTAATCTCAAGCAAGGTTTCAAAATATGTATAAGTTTGATGAATTATATATTAGATGTGACATTACAGGAAGTGAAAGGCACAAATCCGTTTCTCTACCCTTTCTACTCTCTTTTTCTCTCTCTCATTTCTGTCTTCTGATAGTTTGTTCCAGCCTTACTGCATCAGAGGGTTCAATGGGTTCCAAGGGTGGCCAATAGCTTGATGGATTAAGCAAGGGATGGAGAGGGAACACATGTTTTGGGCACAGTGTAAAAGTTAAAAGGAAACTCAAAGGATAGAGATAAGGCTCCTTATCTCTAAAAAGAGCAGTTGTACATATATGGACTTCATTACTTTATACTAATAAAGTTTGTCTGTCATTGATAAAAGAAAGTGAGGCAGTAATGTTAAACAATGCTTCCTCTAATTATCTACGGTATTAAAATCTTCTGGAGTCCAATTTCTCTCTTTTTTATATTACTTTTTTTTTAATTTTATTGAATTCAATCTTCTTTATATTTTATCAAAAAAATTCAATATTCTTTATATATAAAAGAACTCTGGTTAGCAATGCTATTTAAAAGTTATATACAATAATGGATTAAAGAACAATGTGCTTCTTTGTGGGTTTTCCATCAAGCACATATTAGTGAAAAGTGATGTTGCAGTCTGGAGTCCAAATGACATGGTCACCGATTCTGAAATTGTGGTTTCAGCTAGTCAGTTTAGTATAGGACTTTTCAAGAGGAAACTCACTCAAGGAAAGTGGCTGCTTGAAGGTGGATTTAAGAGTGACTTTTTAGATAGGCTGTTTTTTTAGGGATGTGCCTTAGCAGGTTTCTGCTGATTGTATTTGGGGTCAGTAGGATCCTCCTTGAGTAGGGGCCTTAATATGACTTGTTTGTTGGGCAATCTGACAAGATGCTTATGGTGGATCATCTTAAGCATGGTGGCCTTTCAATCTCTAACATGTACTTGATTCGTAAACTGGAAGAATTTGTGGATTATCTGTTCCTATACTCTTATTTCACCTTTCATTTGCGATTACCTTTATTGATCTCTTTTAATTTTCTCTGGATGTTCACTTCTTCAGTTGGAGGGGATTCTTATTTATTGGCTGAGGGTGTCAACAGGTTATAGGGGTTCTATCCTTCAGAATATTACATCTTTTGTTGTTTGCTGGAGCATCTAGAAAGATTAAAGAAGAATTTTCTAGTGCATTGAGAGGCTTGTGAAGGAACTTCTTTTGGTTATTTAACCACTTTTGTATGTCTCCTTGCTTTTACCTGTTGGTGAAATCTTTTTTGGATACACAATGTTTTTGTCTGTTATGGGTTGTTACAAAAGCTTGGCCTTAAACAAGGTCATTATCCAAGGAAAAATAAAGAAGAAAGAAGAGAAAGAAGAGAGAAAGAAGACTGAAGAGAAAAGTGTTTGGAGAGTCAAAAGATCTAGGCTGATGGTGTCTATATATTATGGTGGTGTTTGGTGTGTCTTTTGTTCTGCGGAATGCCCAAAAGACCAAAAAATGGTCTTTTGCCATTTGGTATTGTGTAGACTAAAAGAGTCGAAGACAAGTGCATGGAAAGACCAAAAAGCTGAAAATTGGGATGCTTCAAATGAAGCTTTTGGTCTTTCCATGCTGAAAATAGCCTTCCCAACTGTTTTTAATAGCCTGGTAGACCATGATGCGGACCAAACAGTTATTTTGTCATACCTTCTGGCGACCAATTTCCTGCTCTTATATTGAGATTCGTGCTTATAAGATCGTTAGCACTTTTTTGTAATCTTTTTGAAGCTTTATACACCATCTGGATATGGTTTTATAAGGTCATCCTTTTCATACATGCTTGTGCACTGCACATCTGCTACCCTTAGGTGAAGACTAGACCAGCATTGTACCTTGGGGTGCCAAAGCTTAGAGCCATAACTGAGTGCACAATCCATCTGTAATGAAGCCCTTGATGTGATCTCAATTAATAGGTGTGCTTTATGCTGTGGACACCTTTCCACTCCCTGGGCAATCAAATGAAGGTTCATCATTTATCTAGAGTCTAAATCAATGTCATAAAAGGAGGCATTAGGCGATGTGTTAAGATTTTCCATGCTTGAGGCCTAAGACTCAAGGTGAGAAGGTTAAGCCTCATAAGATCTCATCAAGATCAAGGTTCACCATTCATATCATATTATTATTTGAATTCTAAATAAAAAGGCTTAAAAGGCAAGGACATGGGGCAAGGTGTTAGGATCTTTCTGTTGCTCCACCTAAAGTTGTATTTTTGTTATGGACAGCTACTCTTGTGAAGTGTTTGACAGCAGACTCATTAACTAAAAGGGGTTGGGTGGTGGAGCAAAGCAGATGTATTTTATGTGGGGCTGCTTCAGAAAATGCAGAACATCTATTCATTCATTGTAAGCTTGCCAACTGGATTTGGGAAAAAGCCTTGGGGGGCTGTTTGAAGTTCCATTCTGTTTCCCAAAAGATTTGATTTCTTTGTTGGAGTGCTGGCAACTTGAGGGTGGTCTGTCCAAGAGAGGGAAAGTTTTATGGGAAGTGGTCCCGGCAGCAGTAGTTTGGTCTATTTGGATGGAAAGAAGCAGGAGAATCTTTGAAAACAAGTGCGATTCGGAGGATACAATCCTAAAAAAGCATATGGGGAAGAATCTATTCTTGGTCTGCAATGCATAGACAGCTAAAGGATATTCCTTTTAGTTCTTTTTTTGATCATAGAAATCTTTTTGTATCTAGTTCAGACATGTCATCAGCTTTTGCTTTTCTCTTCCCTGCTTCAATTTCTTTTTGAGCAGGGTTTGTAAATCTTTTGCTTCTCTAATACATTACCCTTTTCTCAAAAAAAGGTGTTAGGATCTTTCAATGTGTGAGACTTAGAATTTGAGGTGTGGGGGTTAACCCTCATTAAATCTCCTTTCGAGAAAAGCATGAATTCAAATGAATTAATATAAGCCTTGTCCCAACTATATGGGGTTCTACATGAATCCTGTTCCACCATTACAGTCTGTTTAGTACCATATCCATTATTAAATTGTGGGCCCTTAAACCATTTATCACTGATTAAATCCATGTCCCTTTTGGCCTGATCATAGCTATATGCAAAAAAAGACTATTATTATAAAAAGAATGTATATGGTGAATTTAATCTGTTTCATTGGTTATCATCATACAAACATGAATTAAAAAAAAGAATGTGTTGCCTTTATACAGCAACTCCTTCAATCCACCAACCAAGAGGGGGAATATGTTATGGAGATATGCTAGGGTAAGGATATTGTTGTCCATTTAGGAGAATAAAAATGGGAGATTATTCAAAGACAAGACTCAAGAAAGGAGGGTCATCATAGATCATATCAGTATATCACTATGTAAGTGGTTCAATGGGTTAATTGTTTCTCTACTGATGTCATTATTGGAGGATGATAATTGGTCGCAAATTCCTCTATAATGGGGGTTGTTGCTCACCCTCAACGGTAACTTCCTGCAGCTCATTTTATTAAGCTTAATTTTGATGGCTGCAGTAAGGGTGATCTGGGCTCACCTGGAATTGGAGTGATTATGGAGGCATTCTAACACTTTTTCTGGACCAGCAGGCTATTGGAAGCTTGATAAGAGCTGAAGTATTAGCAGTTTTAGAGGGTTTGAGGCTGGAAAGAAGAAAAATGTCCTTGGCAGTGCAAAAACTCTATGAAGGAGATAAAAGAGCTAAAAAGAAGCAGGATTGTTGGTTGCAAGGGGTCTATGACTCTATGGGTCTGCAAATAGTTTGGCAAAGCATGGGTTGGAGAGAGAATGCATATTTTGGGGGATTGGAGTACTTATTGATGAACATATTCTTTGACTTGGTCATCTCAACCTTTGGGATGATTTTTGATAGTTATATTGTCTTATTGTTTTGTAACAATTTTAGTATCCTTTTCTCTGTATTTATAGTTTTGTGTTTTGCCCTTGATGCCATTCTCAGTCTCCCTTTTCCTTGTCCAACATCTGTGTTAGATTAAATTCCCTACAATAATATGTTTTTTTTTTCCCTTTTCGTGCACATATCATTCATATACAAGAAAAGAAAAGCAACAAGATAAAGGAAAAAACTACATTGAAAATAATGCATTCAGAGGTTTGACCTTGAAGTGTGGCTTTCCAGTATTATTTTATGTAGTTTCTTAGTTGTCATTGTTGTTTTAGTTGGATTAAGTTTTGGTGAGGTGAACAATTTCTGATATGTTCAGGTGCTGGAGGGCTTAGATCCTGTCAGAAAAAGGCCAGGAATGTATATTGGAAGTACAGGGCCGCGTGGGTTACATCATTTGGTATTTTTGCCTTAGCTCTTTACATTCTGATATTTAGTCTTGTTTAATTTTTCCAATTCTTACTGTTTTATATAATTTCTTTAGGTTTATGAAATATTGGATAATGCTATTGATGAAGCTCAAGCTGGATTTGCCTCCAAGATAGATGTTGTTTTGCTTGCTGATAATTCTGTGAGCATCACTGACAATGGGCGTGGGGTATGACCTTGTTCCTTTTTGTTATGTCAACAAGAGAGGCTTTCTATTTTATAGTGATACGTGATGTAATGAATTTGTATTTTGAGCATTCCTTCTTGCACACTGTTCTATGTTCTATTGCCATCCTTTGAAAGTTGCGCAGTCAAAATTTCATTTTGGCCAATTATCGCATTGTAATCTGAAATTTTCTTCTTTACCATTTTGGGAAATGCTTGGGATCTTTGTAGTCTTTGGGGAAACATGGTGAAGTCTTATTTTATATTCTTATATGACAATAGAATGAGGTAGGGCATCAACAATTCTAACTTCATGTATAGGATTTGGAAATAAATAATGAAGAACTTTGAGGATTGATGCCTTGGAATCTGCTATAGCATGGGCATGAGGTAATGCAGAAGCCGAAGAATCAAATTTGCAATTTTCTAAATTTTCTGTATTTTTGTGTATTTGGACAGTATGGGTATTTTCGTCATTTTAACTAGTCCTGCATGGGCCTGGGTTTTAACATCTTGTTCCTCTAGTTTAGTAGGGCTTATCTTTCAATTTTCATTTTATTTGTATTAGTAGATAGAAAGTTATTGTGTTTCTTGATGCACAAGACAAGGAGTGGCATTTTTATAATTATGGTGAACAGTATTCCGGGCCACACAAGTCACTCTATAAATAGATGTATTCTCTTCCTTTTGATGCTAATGAATGAATGAAGATTTCTTAAGAGCTCTCTTGCTGTATGGAGTGATTCCTACAAACCCTAGAGTGATTCTAGGACCCCTTGGAGTGATTCCTTGGGATTTCTCTTTCTTTTCTCTTGCTCTACCCTTTCTACTCTCTCGTTTCTGTTTTCTGATAGTTTGTTCTAGCCCCACTGCATTATGAGGAACAAAGGGAAATGTTCAGATGATGTTGGGTGGTGATATGAGATTCTACAAGATTTCCTGTGATATTTTTATTTTCTATTTCTTATCAGAAACAGATTCACATAGCATTGAGATATATTGGACTGAGGAGCCATGATAATTGATGACTTGGGGAATGGAGAGTTCCTTCAGCAGTATAAGATGGATCCAAATTGCAGAATAAATTTCAGTAGTTGTGAAATTGCCTATCTTTCTACCTTCCTTGTCAGTCTGCAAGCCCACTTTGACAGATTAGGAGATTTGATTCTCATGTTAGAGCAGTCAAAATGTTTTTTTTTTCTTTAACATTTTTTACTATACCCTTTCTTTGGCTCAACCCTCCATTTTTTGAATGGCAATGGCCAAAATATTGATTGGAAGAGTGATACAAATCGTTTGACCAAAAAAATGTAGGTATAATCCATGCTGAATTATATAAGAATGTAACCATACAAGTTTAATAAGGTAGAGTGGACTGCTATACATATTCTCCCTGTTCAACCCAGACCTAGCTAGGTTGTTGTCTGTATGATTTAGATCCATTGGGATCCAATACAAGACAGAAGGATAGGATCTCAAAGGATGCTTGGTCTCATTAAGTAAATAGGAAAACCTCCAAGTGCCTCTTTCAAACCCCTTGCCCTTCTGGATATAATTGGCTGAATCTCCTCCAATCCATAGAAAGAAGGCCCCTGGGAGGTGGCACCCTAAAGATCATAATAGCAAGGCCATCACCTGGGATTTGGTGCAGTTTACTCCCCACTCCCAGTATGTCTGCTGGAATTCTAACTTGTGTTTCCTTTCCTATCATTGTCAGCACCTAAGTACACTGATTGCCCAAATTAACTGCCATAAAGTCTCAAGTATAATTCCTTAACAAACAACTTATCATGAACCACAAAGGGGATATATCTTTATACTCCTTGTTCCTGTGCAATCCACTTTGGGGCAGTCTATTACCCAGTAGTTCCTTCACTTCAGTTTGCAGGTTCTCCTAATTCAGATAAATCCACAGGTTAGATACCGGTCGAAGTATAAAGGTCTTCCTTAAACTCTTTCTTGTTCCTGGACATAAAACTTCTTTATTTTGATCAGCAACACAGGAAATCCTTCATTCATTAATACTTAAAATAACGGATTACAACAAGAAGTTATGAGAAACTAGCAAACCCATTACAGAGCTAGTCACCCAATAACCAATACTGTATTACAATTGTGCCCAGTACATATTTTGCCTTCGAATCCTTTGCTTAGCTAAACCATCTACCAAGCTGTTAGCAGATCTTCTAACTAGAGATTGCAATTTGACCTGTCCCCGTGGTTTTTGATCACTGATTGAGTTTGGGGCAGGTTTCAAACATAATTTTTAGTATATATTATATTATATCACATTACATAATATAATATAGTTCTAGGTAGGTGTCAAAAAAATAAGAAAAAGAAAAGATTTGCAAGTAGGAATAACTAAGGCAGGGCGGGGCACATTCAGGGATCCCCGTTCCTTTTGGGGATGAGGATGGGGTTGGAATTTCTAGCCTTGTTGGGGGTGGGGTACAGGGCAGGGACTTTGGGCTGCCAAACTACCACTTCATGTATTTTTCAACCATCTCAACTATCTTTGAATCATCTTCAATGATCAAACTACCAATTCCCATCTCTTTAGCTTTCTCAACCCCAAATTGTTGCTAAAGATTCTGCTTTTACCAAATCACCTTGTTCAACCGGGTCAGAAAACAAAGCACATATAATAGCACTCTCATCTCTAAAGTCTAATCACCCCTTCAATTCCTGAAGGGCCCCGATTGCTCACACTATTGCAATCAAAATTCAGTTTCTGCCACCTACCCACTGGGATTGACCAACCTCCACTTTGAAGTCTGGAAAGAGTTTCGAGTTTCAAGGTCTTTACTGAATGTGCAACTCTCAAAGTAATAATTTCTATCACTGTCTCCTTACTCCTTTCCTTCTCCCCAAAAAATCTGGAGTTTCTTTCTTCCCACACTGTCCAAATCACTACCACACCCTTGTACATCTCCACAGGATCTTGCCTCTCCTTTATGTGCTTCTCAAAATAGAAGGGCTAAACAACCTTTCCAAACTGGCAGGAGGGTTTCACCTGCAACTAAAAAGAGAAAAAACCATTCCTAAATACAACAAACAAAGGAACAAGAGATCAATAATGAAAGTAGTCTCACCATTCAACTTACATAGGAAGCACCAGTTGGGGGACAAGCCAAGTTGGTCTTTTCCTTTGAAGTAGATTCAGAAGTATTAATGCATCCATGGCAACCTTCCTAGCAAAAAGCCCTAACTTTTAGGGGAATGGGATGATACCAAATTTCTTTAACAAGAAAGGAGGGAGAAGAGGAAGTGGATACAAGGGACTTAAAAAAGGAATTGCAAGAAAACAACCCATTTGGACTAAGGAACCAGACCTGGCTATCTTCCCCCCCTGTCATCAAAAGATTATGGAATCCAAAATGCGCATTAAGTTAAGACATTGAGGGGATTTTTGACTCTCTAAGATTCCTTGTGAAGCCCAAGTTCCAATTCAGCCCTAAGGGTGAAGGATGAAATTGAACAAACTCAGACATAAGTCTTTCTTTACTATTGGAAAGAACTAATAGAGAGGGAAAAACCTCTTTCAAAGGGGACTCCCCTATCTAGACATTTTCTCAAAATCTTATTTTATGACCCGAAGCCAAGTCATACCTCACTTGATTAAGTAAAGGGGGAAGGATTTTGTGTATAACTTTCCAAGGTGCAACAAGAATAGATTTGTTCCTGCTGGGTTAAGGGAGGGGGATGGGCTACCCCCATTGTGTAGCCCCATGAAGCCAAAAAAAAAGATTAGCTCTGTGCAGAGTGCAAACAACTAACTTCCCATTCATTTCTTGATGACCCATGAATACTAGCCATGACTTTGTGCCACAATCTCTCATCTTCCACAAGAAAGTGCTAAAGTCACTTGCTCAAGAGAGCCAATTTTTCATACTCATGTTGCCAATTCCCTAACCCCCCTTCTTCCTTCTTCTCAGATACCATTTCCCATCTCACCAAATGATATTTCGTCCCTTCTCCTAGTTCCCAAAGGAAGTTCCTCATTAGCTTTTCAATTCTTTTCACAATTGGTTGAGACATCTTGAAATTTAGAGGGGCTTGGATTGCCCATAGTATTCCCATTGAAATTCAGTTTCAACCAGCCACAGGGTGGGGGAGACCAGACCGCTGCTGCAAGCTGTCTTCTAGAAGATGAGGCAGCTATAGCCCCCCAAACTCTGAAGAAATCATCAATCTTAAAGTCTGAGAACTGATTCAGGGTCTTAACCCAATGTGCCACTCTTAGGGTTATGACCTCAATCAAAGCTTCCTTATGCTTTTCCTTTTCCCCAAATATTCTAGAGTTTCTTTCCTCCACAAGACTGTTCAAATCACTGCTGTCCTTGTGTCACGGGGTAGATCTGCAGCATAAGAAACTTGTGCGTGTGGCGTTCGGGACATGTGCGGCCAAGACAAGCCTGATGTGTGCTTAAGGACCATGTGTGGCTCGATGAATGGCTCCACCAAGGTCAGTGGCACTAGATCATGAATGGCTATCTATGGCTCTTGCCGGTCCATGGGAGGTGCCGCTTACGTGCCAAAGGGGGAAGGCCATGATGTGAGGTGATTGTGGTGCCGATGATGCGAGGCACATGCTGTGCCGATGATGTGTAAGGCAACCACTGGGCCTGAGCACACCCGTGCGATGTGGGCAATGGGGTAACTCGATCAGCTTAGGCATGTGGCGAGGTGTAGGGATATGCTTGGGCCAAACCCTCATGGAAAGCCTCCCCTCGATCTGCGTGGTGTGGTGCCGATCCATGCACTGTCCCCATGAGTGTGTGTGTGATCATGAGGAACCTTGGTAGCAACGCTAGCCATTAATCAGGGCTGCCCTGCAAAGGATGTTGGTCTAGGAGTGCTAAGGTTAGGCACCCAAGGTGGTCGACCACCCCTCTTCAAAGAGTACGTTAAGCTTTTGGAGGTTTGCCAATAGGAAACATCACTTCTCCCAAAAATCATATTGGCGATATTTACGATAATGCCACTTAACGTAAGCCCACCAAGCGAAGGTAAGGCTAAGCCTGTGTCAGACCGTGACACCTGTGCGTTTCCACATCAGTCTGCCCCTTTTAGTAGAACAACTAAAAACAAAAGGGTTAAACAACCCTCCCAAACTAACAAGATTGAGCCACCTGCAATCAAAAAGTGAAGCAAACCACTCCCAGATAAAGCCAACAAAAGGACAGAAGAGTAAGAGATGAATTGCAGTTTCACCATTAAGCTTGCATAAGCTGCATCAAATCTACTCTTAGGGATTGAGAAATGACTTGTTTGCGAACAACCTTTGATCCACTTGTACCACAACTCCCCAAACCCACAGCTTTTCAAGATGTTAATTAAAAACTTCCAATCGACTAGATTGTAGGCTTTCTCCAGGTCGAACTTTGATTGATACTCCCTTTTTCCTTAATTTTTTTGGGCCTCTACACACTCATTCCAATTAGAATCTGGTCAATAATCTGCCTATCCTTAATTAAGGCCCCTTGAAACTGGGAAATTAATGAGGGAACACCTTTTGATCCTGAGGGGCAACACCTAAGCAATTTCCTGGACACAAACCATTTAAGTCAGTGTGTTCATCTGGCAAGTCAGAATTGTTATTTGCACAGCATCTTTGTAAGAACCCTATGGAAGATTATTTAATTAGGTTGTGGTATCTTGGTCCTAGCAGTCAGGCACCTTTTTATGCAAGTTGCACCTACATAATACAGTATAAAAGCAGCTTGTACACATTATTGATTCTTTTTTTCATATTTATTCCATATCTCATCTATGTTCTTTTCCTGCAGATTCCAACGGATTTGCATCCAGTTACAAAGAAGTCAGCATTGGAGACTGTTTTGACGGTATCACCAAATATCTTTTCCTACTCTGGTTTTCTTGATAGTCTACAGATGGTGGATGCTTGTAGCCTTGTACTTTGCTTCTGTTCTTAACTTGCTTTTTGATTGCATCTTCCTTCTTTAAACAGTGTATTACTTCTGAAATATACTAGAATATTTGTTGTTTGGGATTACTTGCCATAAAAGTATTATTGTTTTGCTGGGATCCACCCAAAAAATTTAAACTGCATAGGTGAAAGGGGAAATTTGCAAGGGTAAAGCTGCTAGTTCAAAGTCCTAGTAGGCACACAAGGATTTTGAACTACCAGCCTTTCTATTCTTTTACCTCTTCAATGAATTTTAATTTGTAGCTTCTTTCTGATGCATTATGTTTTTCAGTTTGAAAGTCAACTGTAAGCAACTAGGAACAGGCACTGGTCTGGTAGATATAAAGGGGTGTTCATTTTGTTTTTTGCAATTATGGTAAATAGGAATTGAATTCTTTCTGCTCTTTGCTGCTCTATGGTGAGCTAACTATATACTAGTTGTTGTGTTAGTGACTACTCTCTTAGATATCCTTAATTATTATCATCTTAGATTCTCATGAACTCTGTTAATATTTCCAACGAACTATTTTGTTTTAATTATTATGAAACTATTGCCAATTATGTATGCTTTTTGCATAAACACACACATTGGTTTGTTCAGGCCTTGAACCTCCTTTGCTCTGATTTGGATTATTTCTATCCTATTAGTCTAATATCTTTGTCTATTCTTTGCTTCTTTTGTTATTCTTTTTGTTGATCTAAACATAAGCATACACATACACAAAAGTAGTAATTGTTTATCATGTTAAAGCAACTCTGCTGATTTCTGTGCATATTAAGCATTCCTATTATGAAATATAAATATCTATTATAGTTGTTTGATGAAATTTGAATGTTGTGTTTTGACTTTCAACATGAATTGGTAATTTCCCGCCATTTATTTATTTTCTTAAATTAAATGATTAATTGCTAATGACTACATGTCGACATTGAATTCTGTTGCAGATACTACATGCAGGAGGCAAATTTGGGGGTTCAAGTAGTGGTTACAATGTCTCTGGGGGGTTGCATGGCGTGGGCTTATCTGTTGTTAATGCTTTGTCTGAGGTTGTTTCTTCTTTGATGGCTACTTGTTTTTTCCTTTTTTTACACGGAAGTTTTGGTGTATGTTCTAATTTCTATTTATTTGTTAAAATTTTAGCTGTAACATCTATGGATCCATTACTTTATTTTGCTTGGACCTGCATATGTGAGTGCTTTCAACACTCTCATTGTAGACTTGTTGGCATAAAAATCTAATAGGATCTCATCCAACATATATGATAAAAATATTGATTTTTTTAATATCTGACAAGGCTCATTCTGGGTACATGATCCACTTAATTACATCTTCAAACAAAGGTAAAGAAAATTCAACAAACCAAAAGAAGAAAAAATAATGAAATGCAAAAGAAGAAAGGGCATACATTATAACTTTTGGTGATGAAATGGAAAAGTAAACATTAAAATCAATCAAAGTCAGGCAATGGTTTTATTGTTTGAGTGCTTTGTTAAAATTTTTTTGGGCTGTGAGCTTCAAATCAAACTGCATGGTATGCCAATTCTTAGGTGCAGTAATCTGAATGGACAGTTTGGGCCTAGTTTAAATATAAGGTCATTGTGTTTTCATTTTTATTATTATTTTATTTGCACCAAGAACAGAAGATTCTATTAAAGATAAATAAGCAAGAGTGCATATCCTACCTCTATGGGGAAGAGGTAGTGAAAATGGTCAGCAAGACACACAAGTTCAAGAATAATGAAATAAACAATCTTCCTTTCTTGATGATAATGAAACTCATCATATATCCTGGTATGGTAGCTCACTAGCTCCTTACTACAAGAAGCTTCATGGTGAGCCATTGAGGTTTTGTATATCATTCTTTATTTCATAGATCAATAAAATTCCTGAATATTACCAAAAGTTGCATATATCATGTTGGCTCATGCTTTTAAATAATTGGCCTAATTAGGACTGATTGAGTCAGCCCCAATCTATCATATCTAGTGTTTTAAATGTCCAAGACTCCAAGGTGCCAAAAAAAGCGCAAGAGGCTGTTTTATGCCCAAGGTGCAATGTGCAAGGCAATGTGCACACCTTTTTGAAGCAAGGTGAAAAATTAAAAAAGATTAATTCAAAAATGCAAAATTAAATTAAAAAAAACTATATATTCTAAAAAGCTTATTGGCTCAAATTAATGCATAAACATGACATATAAATAAAACATATTCGAAGTGAAAGTATAGAAAAAAATAATCAATCAATCAATCAATCATCTTCTAAGCCTTGTCTTGACTATATGGGCTTGGCTACATGAGTCCTGTTTTGCCATTTCGTTCTGTTTAGGCACTCAACATTATGAAAACATTCAAACACTCAACATTATGAAAACATTCAAGCACTCAACAATTCAAGCATGTGAAAGTTACAATGTGTTTATTTCTCTCCCAATTGATGTTAAACATCTTGCATTTCTATTTCTATGATAAAGGACATTCACCGCTACACTAAGCATCTCAGACAATCCTAGACAAGTTCATTTGAAGGTCCTAAAATATATAAAGGGATTGGTTTTGTGAATTTTGTTGCATTACATTGTATTCTAGGATTAGGAATCAAATTGTTTTTTTGATGAATGATTAGGAATCAAATTGTTTGATGAAAAATGCGTGTATTAACTATTAAGAAGGATGAGAGAACTGTACTAGCAAGGAGGGGGGTCTGGGCTTGTCTCAAGGGCTTGGTTCGAGGGCCTGGGGGCTGTGCCCCTGGCCCGGTCACTATGCTTGGAAAGGCACAAGATTGTGCTGTGGTGCATGCTTGAGTCAAGTGCAAGGCACACTTAGCACATGTCTTTTCAAAGATGCTTGTATGCTCAGGTGCACCTTTTAAATGACTGATCATACCGTAGTCTAGACCTGTTCATTAGGCATAAATGCTTGCAGATCATGGCTGAAGTCTGGTTTGTGGGCCAAACTTCACTGGCTGTGCTGGTCCATAGCAGTTCAAGTTCAGAAGCCCACCCTGACATTGTGGGCCTTGGTAGCTTGTCCAACCTTCAGTTTTGCAACAGCAAGATTCCATAAGAGCTGTATAGTGTATACCGGTTTCTTTGATGGTTATTAGTTTCCTTGTCTTTCTAGGTATTTAGGTATTATACATCAACTGTGTAACAGTTGCAATCATTGCTACACAGGCATTACAAGTTACTGTTTGGCGTGATGGAATGGAATACCAACAAATGTATTCCCGTGGAAAGCCAGTGACAACTCTGACAAGTCAGGTGCTTCAAGGTGACTTAAGTGATCGTCGGGGGACACGCATCAAGTTTTGGCCTGATAAAGAAGGTCTTTAAATTCCATATGCTGTCTGAGATATCAAGTGCATACATTTTTCTAAATGCCCCGAATGACAAGTTGCATTTAAAATGCACCTTTTTTTTGCTTATTTTATCTTTTGTTGCCTCAATTTGCAGTATTCACCACTGAAATTCAGTTTGATTATAGCACAATAGCTGGGCGAATTAGGGAGCTGGCATTTCTGAATCCTGAGGTAAGTTATGTTGATAATGCACGTTTTGCTATAGTTTTATACTTTTATGTTCTGTTTACAGCAGAAAGCTGATATTTAGATGTGCCCCCAGGGGCACCGACGCCTATGTGCATAAATAAAATAAGAAGAAAGTGATGCACTTAAAACAGGGTAAGCAGTGGGTTGTGCCCTGATATTAATCTGACAGGTCCTAAGGTCATAATTCAGAGGCCAGTGGACCTGCAAACCCACTATGTGGGCTATATTTTTCATATAATTTTAGTAATTGGTAATGGGTGGTGCCCTGATTGGAGCTCTTGCACGGAGTGAGCAAGCAGGACGTGATGGAAAATGCAGTCATTTGCTGAGTTACTGATAAAAAACAATCTTAGTGATTGGTTTCATGATTATATGATGCATACATAGTTATTTATTTCATAGTCTTAAAAGGAAAACTACTATCCCGATCAGATCTGAACAGAAGAAAAAAGTAAAAAGAGAAGATAAAGAAATGTTGAAAGAAAAGAAAATAGAATTGACAATAGAATCAATTTTTTGATCAATAACAGAATTGCATTAGAAGACTTTTAAAAAAACAGTAATTACAAGAATAGGAGAGGTACATTTTCTTAACTCTCCCCAAAGAAATTTACTATTACAACTGAGCCCAAAACAATTGACTTCTCCAACCCCTTGTTTAGCTAGTACATCAGCATACCCATTTTCTGTTCTTTTAACCCAACTAAATTTCACATTTATATTTCGTGTCAGCCACTTGAACCTCTTCTTTTCATTATTAAAAACCCAGAAATCCTTTTCTTCCTTTTGAAACTACTCCACTACCAGCTTTGAATCTCCTTCTATAATCAGCTTTCTTAAATTTATGTCCTTTGCCTTTTGTAATCCCTCCTTACCCATTTGCTGTTCTTTTAACCCAACTAAATTTCACATCATTATTTCATGTCAGCCACTTGAACCTCTTCTTTTGATTATTAAAAACCAAAAAATCCTTTTCTTCCTTTTGTAACTACTCCACTACCAGCTTTGAATCACCTTCTATAATCAGCTTTCTTAAAGTTATGTCCTTTGTCTTTTGTAATCCCTCCTTAACAGCCATAACCTCTGCCCTTAAGGAGTCACCTACTCCAATTGGGCCAGAGAATAGACCAGCAATTTTGCCTTCACTGTTTCTAAACACCCCTCCAATACCAGATGGACCTGGGTTACCTATACTACTCCCATCAAAGTTTAGTTTCATGTAGTCATTCATTGGTGGAGACCAAAGAGGGCTTGCAATGGGGTCTGAGCTATCCACTTCCTTCCAGTTTTTCATGATATCACCTTTTGAGAAATTTGCATAGATCTCCATAGACTTTACCTAGTGTACCACTCTAACCATAATGGTTTCTATGATTGCCTCTCTATTTTCTTTCCTTGTCTGAGAATTTTCTTGAATTCCTTTCTTCTCAAATGGTCCATCTCACCACAACCCTTATATTTTTCCATAACACCTGTCCCCTTTTCTTTGGCCACCTAAAAAAGTAGAGGCAAACAAGTTTTGCACATTATGTAGGGGGCCTACACCCAAACAATGAGAAGACCACTCCCAAATGTATTCTACAAAGGGGCATGAAATTAATAAGTGAAAGCAAGTTTCTCCATTAGCCTTACACATAACACATTAGTGAGGGGATAAGCGTAAATTAGTTCTTTCAGTTTGGAGTAAATCGCAGGTATTAATTCTTTTTAGGAAGACTTCCCCACAAAAACCTCCAACTCTTGGAGGGATGGGATTACCCCAAACCTGCTTCACAAGAAAAGGAAGTGCTAGTGAAAACAAAAGGTTGAACAAGAGCCTTAAAGAAAGAAGTCAATTATGGTGAATGGGTTGTCTTCGGACTTGTCATTATTTTATTTTAGTGAATGGGATAGTGGATGACTTCTTTTCGGCTTTGAGAGGAACCAAACAAGGAGACCCTCTTTCTCTTTTTCTGTTTACCTTGGTTGCAGAACTGTTGGGGAGGCTAATCTCTAGAGCATATTTTAGGAACCTAATTAGGGGGTGGAGAGTTGGGAGGGAGAATGTACCACTTACTCACTTGCAGTTTGCAAACGATACAGTTCTTTTCTATGAAGGTGGGGATCTCAATTGGATTAGGAGTTGGAAACTCACTATTCAACTTTTTGAGCAAATGTCAAATCTTAAAGTAAATTTTGAGAAAAGTTGTATAGTAGGGGTTAATATGGGGGAAGGGGAGATTTTGGAGTGTGCCGATATATTGGAGTGTGTAGTGTCCAACTGGCCCTTAAGTTACCTTGGCTTGCCTTGGGGAGATAATCCACGAAGAGGGGGGTTCTGGAATCCAATAGTTGAGAAATTTGAGAAGAGACTTGCCTCATGGAAGAAAAATTATCTTTCTCTTCGAGGGAGAATCACCCTAATTAGGTCTGCTTTAGCTAACTTGCCTGTTTACTTTTTGTCAGTGTTTAATGCCCCGACAAGAGAGATTTCCTTTGGGAACTAGGGGAGGAGAAAAGCCACCATAGGGTTGGGTGGGAAGTGGTGTGTAGGAGTAAGGAGGGAGGCCTTGGCATTGGGACCATAAGGAAGAGAAATTTGGCTTTATTAGGGAAATGGTTGTGGAGATTCTCACTAGAAAAAGAAAACTTGTGGGTTAAGATAGTGGGTAGTATTCATGGGCTTATAGAGAAAGGATGGGACTCTAGCATTTTGGCAAAGACTACAAGGGCATCTCCATGCATAGTTTTCAAGGTGCCAAGGCAAGGCTAGGCAACTGGGGGGGGGCGCCTTGTCGCCTAGGTGATGGATTTTTTTTAAGTGAAAAATACATATCCTAGGTAGTTCCCTAGGGTCCATAACCATCTTTCCTTAATAACTATCTATAATTTTCTAACTTCATGTTTATGTCTAGAGAATCAACATATTTATGAGGACTGAACCATCTTTCCTTAATAACTATCCAGAAATTTCAAAAAATATGGGGACTGAACCCCTATTTTTGTTATAGGAAAAAGAAGAAAAGAAAAGGTGGAAGAAGACGAAATGTGTTGATTAAACAAAACTTTAAGTTTTTCCCTTATTGGTTCAAATTCTGAAGTCTTTGAGGGTTCAATACAGCAGTTAGCAATGTTTGTTTTGATTAAACCCTAACAAATAAGAAAATAATAAAAAGAAATTAGTTTATAAACACAAAAAATGGTTAATAATGTCTATTTTATAATTATAATCTCAAAAAAAGTAACAATATAAAAGTATTTTATAAGACAGTATTCAAAATTGCTAGACGACTGGGCAAGCCGAGCCTCCAAGGGCGCCTTGTCGCCTAGGCGTTGCCTAGACGCCCGCCTTGACAACTATGTCTCCATGGAAAGCAATCCAAGCTATTTTGCCTCTGTTTTCTCCTTGGATTAGGTATGATTTGCACTCTGGCCACCTTATTAAATTATGGGAACAAGTTTGGATCGGAGATTCTCCTTTAAAAGAACAATATTCGATTTTCTTTGCCATCTCTACCTTCAAGAGTCAATCGGTATCTACCTTCCTTGTACCATCTAACTATACCTCTAGGTTAGGTTGGAATTTGGGACTGAGAAGAGATATCAGGGACATAGAATTGGACAATACCTTATCCCTATTATCCATCCTTGATGGGGTTTTCTTGGAGCCAACAAAGGTAAACGTCAGTATTTGAACTCTCTCTTCCTCTGGTACCTTTACTTGTGCTTCTTTCTTTAAATCTGTAACACACCTGGCTGTTCCTATTGGTTTGTCTTTCCCTGTAAAAGAGGTGTCGTGTCAAGCTATTCCTACGGAGGTGGAAAGCTTTTGTTGGGAGGCCTTTCTGGAAAGAGTTAATATAGGAGATTTGCTTCAAAGAAAAAGGCCCAATAGATGCTTGTCTCCTCAATGGTGTGTCCTCTGCGAAGCTGTTGGTGAGTCTGGGTTTCACTTACTAATTTCATGTCAATTTGCAAACTTTATTTGGGAACAGTGTTTTAAAAGCGCAAAAAAGGCACAAGGGCCATTTTGCGCCTGAGGTGCAAGGCGAGGCGTGCACCTTTTTGAGGCAAGGCGTACAATTTAAAAAAAAGCTAAAAATTCAAAAAAAAAGCAAAAAAAATAAAAAAAACTATAAAGCATAATATTAATAAAAAGTATAAACTTATGTTTTAAAATAAATGTTTTAAAAAACCTATTATTTAAAATTAAAATACATAAATATAATATGTAAAGCATATTCAAATGAGAATTTAAAAATGAAATCAAACGTATAAAACGTTTTCAAGCATATAAAACCCACAATCTCATTTTTTTCTCAATTGCATCAAGTAGCTAATGTGACATTAAATTCCTAATTCTACGAGCAGCCTTTGTGCCACGCCCCTCAAGGCAAGCCCAAAACAAGTCCATGTTAGGGTCTTAAATTCTTAGTTTTCACACAAAAAATAATAATTTTATAGTTTTAATTGCTTTTAAGAAGATATTTTATTAGGACGAATGAATGGACAACATTACCAAATAGGGGATTTTCGAAGCTTCAGTGAGCGAGCGAATGTTTGGGCCAGCCTCGAGGGGCGTGGCACGGGGGTCTGGGGGCGGAGCTCTCGACCTAGCCGCCAGACTCAAAAAAAAGGAAAAGGCGGCAAATTTTCAAACGGCGCACACTTAGGCTAAGGCACAAGGCGCACCAGGCACATGCCTAAGCATGCCAGGCATGCACCTTTTGAATGGGCTGCGCCTAGGCGCGCCTTTTAAATCACTGTTTGGGAATGGTTTACTTCTTTGTTTGGGTGTAAGTGGAACTCTCAACCAAATGTGCAAAGCTTGTTTACTTCCTCTCCTTCTAACTGGCCAACAAAAAGGGCAAAGATTATGTGGAGATGTGTTAGGGCTGCAGTGTGTTGGTCTATTTGGGAAGAAAGAAACTTAAGGATCTTTGTAGAAAAGGAGAGAACTGTGGAAGCAGTGATAGAAGTGGTTCATGTAAGGGTAGTTCATT